TATTTATTTATTTAAGTTGGCGTTCAACTTGTCGGGGAGGAAATTATTTATTTCGTTAAGCTTCGAATGATTAACGATAATTCTTGTATCTTTAAAAATTGCAGTCTTTGTAAATAACTGCTAATAAATTTTGCAGAAATTCGAGAGAAAATTTGTGTAGAAATTAAATTCTAAGGAAATTTGGTAGGTTCATTATTGTATAGATATTTATATAAACCACCCCTATTTAATTTCAATCCCCATAAATCACTCTAAAATTATTAAAGAGTTCAGTATCTGTTAAATCTACAGTTTTTAATTTTTGTAAATAAATAATAAATTCAACATCCTAAAAACAGAAATTAAAAAGAAAATTCGTGTAGAAATTATATTCTAGGAAATTTAGAAGGACTTCATTATTGTATATATATTTAGTCACATTTCCTAGTTCAAACCACCCTTGATTAATTCCAACTCCTGTAACTTAGTCTAAAATTACCAAACAGTTTCAGAAACAGAAATTAAAGAGAAAATTCGTGTAGAAATTAAATTCTATAGAAATCTCAAACATCTCAGTTATTGTATAAATATTTAGTCACACTTCTTCGTAAAAACCACCCCTAAATAATTTCAATCCTCATAAATCACTCTAAAATTATCAACCAGATTCAGAAGCAGAAATTAAAGAGAAAATTTGTATAGAAATTAAATTCTAAAGGAATCTCGAAGAACTTCATTATTGTATACATATTTAGTCACACCTCCTAGTTCAAACCATCCTTGATTAATTCCAACCCCTATAACTTAGTCTAAAATTACCAAACAGTTTCAGAAACAGAAATTAAAGAGGAAATTCGGGTAGAAATTAAATTCTATAGAAATCTCAAACATCTCAGTTATTGTATAGATATTTAGTCACACCTCTTCGTAAAAACCACCCCTATTTAATTCCAATAACTTAGTATAACATTATCAGCCAGTTTCAAGAACCGAAATTAAAGAGAAAATTCGTGTAGAAATTAAATTCTAGAGAAATTTCGAAGGACTTCATTATTATATACATGTTTAGTCACACCTCTTCATAGAAACCACCCCTATCTAATTCCAATCCCCACAAATCACTCAAAAATGATCAACCAGTTTCAAAAACGAAAATTAAAGAGAAAAGTCGTATACAAATTAAATTCAGCACAAATATCAAAGCACTTTCATAGTCAGACCTCTTCTTAGTTACACCCCTGACTAATTCCAAATCGGTTAAAATTTACGAAACAGTTGATAACAAACCCCACTTTTCTACCTCTCCAACCCCTAGCGAAATCCAAATCGATAGCCTCGAAATCTCAGAAATAGCGTAGAACGGTATCGCGCTATATCCGTGCAGAAATGTCTGCTTCGTTACTTATTGACTGCTCGTTTTCCTGTATCGTGTTCCCCAGAGATCGGTTCCTTTCTCCATTTAGAACGAGCGGAATTGCGTTTCCGTGGGCTCGTCAATAATTCGCGAGTCGGGGGCCGACCCGTTGTCCGATCAGCGGTCCCATCGCGGAAGAAACAGCCGGAGAATCCTCTCAGGATTTATGCTTCCGCGCGAGGAACACCGATAAAGCTTCTGACCTGTGCCGCGAACTTTTGCTGCTTCGGGGTAGCCGCGTGGAGAGAAATAGAATTTAATGTGGGCCAACGACGATCGAACGGCCCTCGCCGTTAAACGAAGTGGTAAATTCCGAGAGACAGTGGCCGCTTTCCACTCGCTGTGTTACTCGCAGTTTTATAGGCGAACTTTGCCTCGAAGGCTGCGAGCTTGCGAGGGTTATTTCGTTGCACGTCTCCCGCGCGGATCGAGTTTGCTTTTATCTGCTCGGCGACGGAAACGTCGATAGTCTTTGTGACAGATGCGAAGAGTTCTGGAGAGGAAAGAAAATGGAAGAGAGGAATCGGAGGGTGTCGTGGAACAGGGGGTGGCAGGCTGTGGAAGATGGCTGTTTGAATTTTTCAATTGGGACAGCAGGTGTGTGTTAGAGAGGAATTTTCGATAAGTGACAGAGGGAATATGTAGGTTTGTCTGGGTTGATTTCTAGGATGGAAATTGTTGAAGGATACGTGTGTTATTTCATTTTAATCCTTTAGATAGTGGGTTAACACTTCAACTGCCAAATGATTTTTGTATGCGATGAAATTTTCATTATTTTTGGATATAGCGATGAATTATCAAATAATGTAGCAAAGGAAAGAAAAATGGTGGAAATTATAAATGTTTTCATTCAAAGTTCTCTATTTATTTACGTTGTTCGAATATTTAAACATTGGTTGGAATGAAGCAAATATAAACTTAAAAAATTAGCATTGCCCCAATGAGGAGGCAAGTGCTTGTCACTGATGACCACCATGGCAGTTTACGTGTTGATGGGTAGTCGTATGTAAATGAAGGGAAAGTTAGAGTAACACGAAGAAAAGGAAATAATTGTTAAATTAAAATACGAAATAATCTAGAAAATAAAAAGATAATAGGATTTATACGTCCTAGGAACATAAAATAAATATCGAGTACCAGAATATATGACAGTACACAGGGGTAATAGTAATCAACCCCTTCGCTTACAATATCGTGCCATACTCGTGGTAAGGAAATCGGGTCGAACACGAATATCACGAGTGCGAGACGTGGTTCGTAAATAGGGCTCAACACGTATACAACTCAAATCAGGCTTTAAAACGTGAAATAATATAGAAAGTAAAAACATAATAAATATCGTGTACCTAAATGTATGACAGTACTAATTATCTTCTTCGTTTATAATATCCTCCTAGACTCACGGTAAGGAAATCGGGTCGAACACGAATATCACGAGTGCGAGACGTGGTTCGTAAATAGGGCTCAACGCGTATACAACTCAAATCAGGCTTTAAAACGTGAAATAATATAGAAAGTAAAAACATAATAAATATCGTGTACCTAAATGTATGACAATGCCAATGTATCCTCTTCGCTTATAATATCCTGCTAGACTCATGGTAAAGACATCGAGCCAAACGCGAGCATCAGAACGTAAACAACACGAGTCAGGCTCGTAGTTAATTTCCGCTGACGGTTTCCTGTTTAGTTGCGTGTTATTCTTCGCCACGTTCGTAAATTCCACGTGCGACCGTTAATCTTCGTCAATGTTTTTCTGTCGGGACAAGTTGAGACTCGTCAGTTGCGTGTTATTCTTCGTCGCGTTCGGACGATATAGCTCAGCGTGTGACTGTGCAACTTTGCTGTTTGATGATGGCACGTGCCATCGGAACTGAAATCGTAAGATAAGAGGTTAAAATTTTGCATTGAAAATAAGCAGCCATATAATCACATATAATATTACACATTACATAACATCTAAAAGATACTTCGATTGCGATTATTCCGATTGACAGCGAATGATCATTATTGTAATATTATCGCGGGATGCTATGTTTAGGAAAGCAAATCGGAAATCGATTGATACCGATGCGGAAGGTTATTTTTGCAACAAGCCAGCTAAGTTTAGGTAGGGTGAAACGCAGGCCAGCGGAATCGTATCCTCACAGGGGGCGAATCGCGAATTGGCAAGGTGACGTAATTTTGACGAGGGCAAATCGCTAATGGGTTGCACCATATCAACTAATTAGCAATCGATAAAAGCACGTCATCAAGCTTGGCAATGGACATAAGAATAGGGCCCTTAGCGACATAGGGAGAGTTCTGCGTTGAGTCATTCGGTATTGGACAGAGACGAGAAGAAACGTGTCTTCCGCGGATTAAAGCTAGGTTATTCCAATCTTATTTCCTTCCGTTTAATCAGTTCCCGTGATTCCTGTTCATCTTGTTCTATTCTGTTCCATTTGCTAGCGTCTCAAACCGTTCGTGCCCACTATGCATCCTAAGTACCCTGTGCGTCCTACAATGAGTTCTGAGTTCAAGCTGATACGAGAAGAAATGTGTCTTCCGTGTGTTAAAGTTCGGTTATTCCAATCTTATTTCCTTCCGTTTAATCAGTTCCCATGATTCCTGTTCATCTTGTTCTATTCTGTTCCATTTGCTAGCGTCTCAAACCGTTCGTGCACACTATGCACTCTAAGTATCCTGTGCGTCCTACAATGAGTTCTGAGTTCAGGCTGATACGAGAAGAAATGTGTGTTCCTTGTGTTAAAGTTAGGTTATTCCAATTTTATTTCCTTCCGTTTAATCAGTTCCCGTGCTTCCTGTTCATTTTGTTCTATTCTGTTCCATTTGCCAGCGTCTCAAACCGTTCGTGCACACTGTGCACCGCGCGTACCCTATGGGTCCTAGAATTGAAATCCTAAGACCAAATAAAACCCGTTTTTGACAGCATCCTGGATTACTAAACTCCGAATGAAATTAATCTTAAGATTCGAAGGGAGGGAGCAAATCGTTAGTAATCGGTAGCGTGATGAAGTTCGCAGTAGTCTCGTCGTCGAGAGGCTCCCCCTGGATCCATTTCGTCTCGCTTCCTTAATCATTTAGTTGACAATATTTACATAATCCTCGAGAGAAGTGCCGGGGACCCGTTGAGCAGAATAAGTCGTTAATTCTTCGTCACTCTGGCACAGAGCTGCGAGAGCATTCGGCTGCTAGGTTTCTCCCGCATGACTCGGCAGGAAGTTCGTTAGGGGGCGTTTTCACGCAGCGGGGGTTGACAAGCGAAGTCCGAGTAAACACTATTAAGGCTCCTTCGTTGAAATTCCGCGTTCACGCTTGTTTTCCCTGGGCAACAGCCTCGATGAAAAAACTTTTCCACTTGCCACGAATAGATCCTCCCTCTGTTATTCCAGCCACCCTCTTCCGAGATTATCTTCCGTCCCTCTTCGAGCGAGCCTTCGAGAACAAGGATAACGGATACGGTCGCTTAAAATTGTCGCAATTGATCGTGCAATGGAATTAATTTTATCTTGGAATTAATTTCCTAGCCTCTCCCCCTTGTCTCGTACATTCTCTTTTTCGGATATTTACTTTCACTGACCAACTGTTCCCATTTTTGTTTCAGTTCTGAACGAGTTGGAGGGCCTGGCAAGGGGTGCCGACTCCAGAGACTGCCCTCCAGCCTCGAGGGCAACTTTGGACCCCGAGCACGTGGCCAGAGTGGCTGAGAGCGCGAAAGCAGCCTTGTCCTTCGCGAGAAGCAGAAATCCCGCGATTCGGTGCTTAACTACGAGAGGGACTGTCCTTACATCCAGTACCTTCACGGTGGAAGAAGACGTCGATAAGGTAAGGGAATCAATTTAATCCAAGGTTTCCGGGATTTATTTATCGAAATCTCTGCGTTTGTATTAACCCTTTGACTACTGCGGGCGTTTAGAAATTTTACGATTATGATACTGTGACTATAGGCATCTAGAGTCACCCAAAGGATCTTTTACTGTCAAATTTTAATAATTTGATATTGTTTTAACGTAGTGGAACATAGTGCTTTGATTATTATTTAAATAGAACATAATTTATCAGCAATGCACACTTAACGAAAAGTGTCATCATTCTCGGTGTACATTGCAAATGGATTCCTACCATATGGTATGGCTAGTGCGTGTCAAAGTCTGCCGTAGTCAAAGGGGTTAGGTTATCGATCAAAACTCGACGTTTCGTGTTAAAATTCGAAGAATCGATTATTCATATATCATAAGTCCCGTTTTAATGTTCGGAGACCTGCGTCATTTTACTGTTCGTACTATACATTGGAACTATTGACAGCGGGTAGGGTAATTCTTACAGGAATTCTGTCAAAATCTAGAAAAATACAATGATATAATCACGGCGAAATTAATAATAGCTTAAGTCTTCAACAATTCTTTATCATTCTCATAGACGTATCATACAATGGCGGAAACCCAGGCTTTCAAACACAGGCTCGTACCTTTACACCTGGGAGCCCCAATTTTGGCAATTATGTGTCACCGTTATTAAATCCCATATCTCGACATTTACATTTCTCCATTTCATATACTAAACCGCAAACAACGCAGAAACTAATTGAATTTCCCAAGAATTAGGGAATACACAGCACTTGCATTCTTCGAAATTCAGACGAGATTATTTCTTCTCGGAATTAAATGACAAATTACCAATCTCCCCGTATAAAGGCAAACTCAATTTGTAGCAGTATAATATTCTTTATCACGTTTATTTATTCAAATTTCTCAAAGGTGGTCATTTTTTCCGATACCTGTCAACATCGTGACAGCACGCGATACTAACCTTCGATAAAAGGAGAAGAACCAAGAATCTCGGTCCTTCATCTTGTCACATCACCTTGTCACGCACGTAACGCAAACGCAAGAGGAAAAAGGAAGGGGAAATAAAAGAGATAAATAAAAATGGCATTACGCTAGAAAATTCTGCGACCTAACCGAGCCTGTTCCGCGCAGAAAGAAGCGCCGCCAATTGAAATTCCCGCGATGCTGGGGCGCGTGTCATTTCATAAAAATAATAAGCGAAACATCTGTAATTCCGTTGCAGGACGGGCTGACAAGAAACGATGACAGAATACTGGCTACGTGCTTGAGCCTCTGCAAGGCGGGTAACAAAGATCAAGTAAATGCAGGTACGTAGACACACGCCGCGGCCACCGCGCATATTTCTCTCTCAGAGTACTCGGTACACGAAGCGTTTTCCGACGCTTTGATGGTGATTAATACCGCCTCTGGCCGATTGTAATGCCCGTTCCGCCCGGGGATTAACCGTTATCGCGGTTGACAGCGCACATGGCGTCACGATCGACGCGATCGTTGCCTTCGCTCGCCCTTATCGAGCAGCAATTTATTGCTCGACAGCGTGCTAATTATTCCACTCTTCCTGATCGCGAGAACCACGTCGAGATCGGTTTCGTCAAGGCCCGCTAATTGAAACCGTCTCACCGGCTGAGTTATGTCAATGAAAAATTTGCCGCGACTGTCAATCACGCGAGGAAATTAATATTTCGCGTTTGAAAGAAAAAAGAATTTTTTTTACTCTTGGAATTTGTAGCTTGGATCCTTTTTAGTCATTCTATCGATTTTTCAGTTCAGGGCCGTAGTTCGATAACTCGAATTTTCGATCTTTCAATTTAAATGACAGGAGATCCGTCAATTTTGCAGTTTTAAGTATCGAAGTTTCGGGATCTGAGAATATCGGAGTTTTGAGGTTATGGGATTGTAGAATTTCATAATTCCCTGTTGCGAATATAAGATTTCCAAGCTCCTTTGCCACCCCAAAAGTTCTCCAAAATCGTAACAAAGGATCACACATAAAAATTTCCAAGAGAAGCTCGCAAATCCCGTGTTTTGAGATTATGTGATTGTAGAATTTCATAATTCCCAATTCCCTGTTGCGAATATAAGATTTCCAAGCTCCTCCGACCACCCCGAAAGTCCTCCGAAATCGAAACAAAGGATCCCATAATCGTAAGAATTTCCAAGGAAAGCTCGCAATTCCCGCGACCACTGCTCCATTCGAACCTCCTTCGAACAAAAGACCTCTCCTGCACCGTTCCAAGGGAAAAAGAAAATACTCTCACTCCTGTCACACTCGAAACATTGAGTCAGCAACCCCCGCGGAAAACTAAACAGGCTTCGAATTTTCCTTTGAACAGAAGAGGGTCAGCCGCGACGACTGAGAAGGGAGGTCGTGCTGCTAACAGAGGACAGGAACCTGAGGGTGAAGGCTCTGGCCAGGGACGTCCCCGTGAGAGAGGTGCCCGACTTCATGCAATGGGCCGGCCTCGGCTGAGACGCTTTTCCGACCAAACACACCCGCTAACGAAAAATCTCCCGTTACCACCCCCGCCGAGTAAACTTGACCAGCAGCAGCAGCAGCAAGAC